GGAAGAAGAGGTCACACAGGAAACAGAACACGCATGAAAAGTAGAACAAGTTCAGACCATGGAAAATGCAACATCAAAGTCCAATGCTAGGATTCCCGTTTCGGCAACCTCAGGATTTAAAACAGCTTAACCACCAATGTAGAAGCTGACGGAATAGGCCACTCAGCCCCTCAATTCATGCTGCACTCATGGTTTATTGGTTCCAAATTACATGGCCCCTCAGATACCTTCACCATTCTGACAGTCAGCATCCAACCTAGTCAACTTGTTTACTTCACTCTCCTCTTCCATATCCCCTGATGTGTACCTAAATAATTCACTCCAACCAACCAGGGAACAGCCACATGCACATCGAACGGAAGTAATTATCCTGGAATTTCCAGTTGGATTTCTTAGTGCTAGTCTTAAACTGTTGGCCCTTGACTCTACTGACTGGCAAAGTCATCTTCGCCAATGTCCATAGGATATACAAGCAGAAGCAGGCCACTCAAACACCACTCGAGACCGTTGCGCTGACCTGATAATCCTCAACTCCACTTTCCTGCCTTTTCCCCATAACTCCATGCCCTCATTGATTAAACATCTGTACACCTCAGCCTTGAACATAATTAACGACACACCTCAACAGCCCTTGAAGAATTCCACAGATTCACTACCCTCAGAGGAAATTCCTTCTTACCTTGATTTTAAAAGTGCAACTCCTTGTTCTGAGATTACACCCTCTGATCCAAAATTCACCCAAAAGGGGAGCCAAATTTCTTGTATCTACCCCATCAATGATGATTGGATCCAAACAGTGTGGAAACAGGCCATTATGATGTCCACACCGACCCTTTCACAAACATCCCACCTAGATCCATCCCCCTACCCTTTCCCTGTAACCCTACATTTCCCATGGCTAAAACACCTAACTACACATCCCTGGACACTATGGGACAATTTAGCACGACCAATCCACCTAACCTGCACATCTTTGGACTGTGGGAGGAAACCGGAGCACCCGGAGGAAACCCATGCTGACACGGGAAGAACGTGCAAACTCCACACAGTCGCCCGAGGGTGGAATTGAACCCAGATCTCTGGTATTATGAGGCAGCAGTGCTAACCACTCGGCCACAGTGCCGCCCTTCTATAAATCTTCTATGTTTCAATAATGTCGCTCTCACTTTTCTATATCCCAATGAGCACTGGTACAATCTACTCAATCTCTCCTCATAAAGGCACTGCCTCTATAACCAGTAATGAGCCTAGTGAACCTTATGGGGAGTGTGATATTACGCAGACCATGTACTATTCTATCTGCCAATATTTTCACCCCTACGCGCATAACCTGTCTATATCCCTCTGTAGACTCCTCGCTGCTTGCCTTCTACCTTTTTTGTCTCATTTGCAAACTCAATAGCATATTCACTTCCACCATCCAAATCATTAACACGTAATGCTATTATAAATGCAGCCTCAGCACCGATTCCCGTGACACGCACAGGTTACCACCCTGAACATGTCCCCATTATCCCAACTGCCTCCTATTTGCTAGTTAACCCTCTATCCAGATTAATATGGGCTCTCAGTAAGTAGCTGTGTGGAACCTTATCAAATGCTTTCTGAAAATCCAACGATATTACATCTACTGGTTCCTCTTTATCTACCTTAACCCGTCAAACTGGACAGCAACAGTTCAAGGAGGCAGCTGACCACTACCTTCTCCAGGGCAACTAGGGATGGGCAATAAACATAGCCAGCAACGCCCAAGTCCCACGAATAAATAATAAAATTTCTGACACATTTGTCATCAATAATTTCCCCTTCAAGAAGCCATGATGACTCACTTAAATGCTATTACGTACTTCTAAATATTCTACTACATCCTTAATAACAGAATCTATCATCTTTCAATAACAGACATTAAACTACGTGGCCTATTGTTACCCATTTTGACGTCTCTTTAAAAAGAAGTGTTACATGGCAGTTTTCCATTCTTCTGGGACTTTTCCAGGAATCTAAGGATTTCTGGAAGATTACTATCAGTACACCCCTGTAGCTATTTCCTTCAATATCCTAGAAGGCGTTCCATCAGCTGAAGGGGATTTATCGGTGTTTTTAACCCCATTAGTTTCCTGAGCATGTCCTTTCAAGTGCTAGTTATTGTATTTATATCCTTTCCCCTTTTTGCCCGCGTAGTCATTTTGAAATGACATTAATGTCTTTTACGGTAAAGACGAATGTGAAGTATGTATTTCAACTGTTCTGCTATTTCCTGGTTCCTCATTATTAGCCTTACAGTTTGTTTTCCCTCATTAGAATTTCTTGGGTCGTCTTTCCCAACCATCTCATAATACCTTTTCAAACTTGCCTGATAGCTATAACCTACACATCACTCTGATATCGCACGCCTTCTCCTGGGCCTCTTTATCCTTTGTACAATACGGAGACCGGAACTATTCGCAGAAACTCAAACAACTGCAATCCAACCAGTAAACTGCACAAACTTTGCACAACATCTCTGTACTTTTGCTTAATAAACCTCGGTGCTGTTTCTTTACCCGCCTTCTTTGCCCAAAGTGACGTGAATCTGGAGAATTCCCCACCTGGTGAAACTGTTGAGGCTTCCTCATTGAATGCTTTGAAGGCAAAGTTAGATTTTTGAACAGTAAAGGAATTAAGGATCATGGCGAGCAGGAGGATAAGTGGAGCTGAGTCCACAAAAAAGATGAATGGTGGAGCAGGCTCGATGGGCCAAACTGCCTACTCCTGCTCCTATTTCTTATGTTAAGAGAGGCAAACTTAAAAAGGAAATGTGGAAAGGCCATCAGATGGGTGGAACCAATTGGATATCTCTATCAGCCAGGGATTGCTCACACATTAAAAACAGCAGCTTGTGAACGCAAGTTATCCGAGCCCCAGCCATCGCCTTGTTCTGGCTGGAACCGGGTCAGGTCAGAGGAAATGACATACGGTATAACTCCTTACTTGGTGGAAGAGTATTGAGGTAATCCTAACGGTGACCTTGGGCCAGAGCTTACAATGAAAAGACACAGGCTCGCCTGATGAACCAGAACCAACAAGAAGATAGATACCACAGCTTGGAAAGATAAGGAGAAGGAATAAAATTGAAGGAATCTGGGTATGCCAGCAGAAAAACCTCTAGAGATCAACCTTTGCTGAAGTGGAGGACCCTATGCTTGGAAGCATGGAGATTACACAGAGTACATGGGGAATCCCTGGCCAGCACGAGCTCCTATTCTCCAGTATTAGCCTCCAAGATCTTTAACTGTTCAGGGAAACTCAGTGAGACCTAGTGGTTGTGCACAGAGATTTCTGTCTTGCACAAATTGCATGCTTGCTTTTAACCCTTTCTTAACCAAATGGTGCTAACTTACTTCTATTTTAACTAAACTAATGAAGTTAGTGATGAGTTGATGCAGATTTGACTCTGTTCCTCTTTGCGCCGAGCTAGTAACTGTTGTCGAGGGCAGTTACCAGGCAGCAGCTGTTTAAGAGGAGCTGACACAGGCATGGAATTGCAGCGTTCCAGCTCCATTTCGCTCGTTAACTGGCAGCAGAAACAACAACAATCAAACACAACAATCAGCAAGGCACCTCAAACTCGAGGGAAAGCTCCACATAAAACACCTCGGGTCCTGCAGATTAGAATCAACTGCCCCGGGGTACCACAAGCTCAGATGCAAATACATGTGGCAAAGCAGTTTGTTCTGACTGTCAGCGCATTTCAGTAATCTCACCCAGCACAACACATCAGCACCGCTGCAGCAAGGAAGGGCATTCAGCCCTTGTCTGTACCAGCTTTGGGAGAGCAATATAGCTCAACCCACTCATCCACCTCAGTGCCAGAGCCTTTGCCATTTCTCTTTCAAACTCACTTTTGAAATCCACAATCGAAACCGCTTCCATTACAGTGTCAGGGAGT